ATAATGGAGATGTGTCCTTGACAACATGGAGAGAGGCCTAGCATCAGACAGATGGAGAATAAATTGTATGCTTAGCCACATCTTGGCTACATGACCTTGGGCACGTTTCTTAATTTCTTAACCTAGTCTTTTCAGGTATAAAATATAGATGAAAGCATATATATTGTAGTACCTTTTTATGAATTATAATAGTATTTGTAAAGATCTCATATAGTTGCTCACAGTAAATGCCTTCAATTCAGTTGTAACTGTGGATCTTACATGATTCTTCTTTTTCCTAATTTCCTCTAGTATCTATCATAGTGTTTTGATTTGTGTGTTGGCTCTTTTGTATGTTTTTCATCTTAAAAATTAGAGCATGAGAGTTTAGGATGAGGTGGCCTATTTTGCTAAGGGAGCAGCCTCCTGTCTGACTCTGTGAATTCTGTGTTGCTGGAAGAAATGAAAATATGCAATTTCCCAGAAGTGGATATCATTTCTTCCCCCATTTGGTGAGGCAGTTAAGTTACAAACAACTAATCCAGGAATTTTCTTTGGAGGAAAATCTGACTTTGTGCATATTCTGAGAACTCAAATGTTGTCTCTGTCTGAACCAGTATATCCTTGGAAACTTGAAACCTGAAACTTCAAAATTAAGTTTGAATTTTGTTTGTGGTATTTGCAAGTAAAGTTACAATTGTTTATTCATGAAGTTCTCTGAAGCTATTAGATGTGGCAAAACTAAATGTTGCCCTATTTTATTTTAAGATTGTCTCAGTTTTGCTGCATTTAAAAATTTATCAAAAGCCTTAGACTTTGATGTGTTTTTATATATAAAGTTTGTGGATTCATAAGCTAATGATTCCAATGAAGTCATTTTCTGGAAAATATGTTTTATAAACAGTTATAAAATACATTTCAGAATCTTCCTTTGTGGGTATCATTTTGACACTTATTAGTATTTTTCTTGCTTTCTTTTCCAGTAGAATAATTTTGACATTTAAATCTCTATCTTAGGTAATTTATTTTGCAGCAGCTACTCACTGTTCTGAAGATTGCTTCTGAGGGCCTGTAAATATGGTTGGAATTTTATTCTTGGCTATGTTTTAAATTTAGCAAACTTTTTTCTAGCCCTACTATGAAATAATTTTCTGTATTTTATAAATAAAGGTAATTAGTTGCCAGTTTCTATTGAAATTGGAATCCTTTCCGTTGTGTCTAATAGTGCAGACCATTTTATTCTGTCACGCGAACTCTTCACAGAATAATGCCATGGTCCTGTAGTACACTATTCTATATGTACTATTAACTGCCCTTCTACATGGTTTCATCAGGAAAGTTAGGTTGAGAAAGACTTTTAGGTAAAGACAGATGAAGGAAGAGCATCTTAAAGACACTTTTACATTTATGTTTTTTCCCTCCTCTTCAGTTCTGTGCCTGGGATAATGTAGTTAAAGAAGCACAATTCCCTTTTCCATTTGTCTGGAAATAATTACTTACTGAGAAGATATGTGCTTAGTGGAAGAAAGGTTTGGCAAGTAATAAATATTCTTTAGTTTGCTGGTGTTGGGAACATATGTTAGTGATCCTATAATAAAACTCACATGCCTAAAAAGTGGTTACTGTGTGTGGGTAGTAACTATTCTTATACAATAATGTGTCATGGGAAAGGCTTCATTTTGATTTGGAATAATGGATACATTCAAGCCAATATACAAGTTCTGTAATGCTTTTACTTAAGATCTACGTAGTCCAATCCTACAGATAATCTATTCATAAAATTTAGAAGGATGGGGTTCCATTGTGCTTAGTTAGAAGTCAACCTTAGTAAAATTATAAACAGTGAAGATGAGTGTTAAGTAATCTAAATGTGAATTTATCAACTAGAGAGACATAAAAATAAAACTAAAATACTTAGACCCAGTCACATAACCTGGTTAAGAATGGCAGTGTGTTTTGACCTTCATCTTTAATGTTTTCTGCATAGGATTGCCACGTTTACTTGAATAAAACTAATTCTAAGTGTGAGACAGGTTGATTTTTCAATAAATGTAATGCAGTGTAATGTTTACAATGTTTTGGTGATATAACCTCTTTTTTGTTACCTTCAAGGTTAGTTTCATTAGGATTAACTTGACCCTATAAAGTGTTGCTTGATTAAAATACAGATACGAGCTTGTAGATCAGAACCAAGCCTAGCTGTGCCACAAAGTATGTTGAAGTTCTAAATGCATACAAACCTGATTCCTTCTCCCTGATTTTAGCCTGGTTTACCCTAAAAGCAATCACTTATATTTTTAGTGTTTCAATGTTTGACTTTGTGAATAGTTTTTTATATGATAACTGTAATTTCTTTAATGTTTAAAGGACAGTTTTTGTATTTAGCCTAAAATTAACCTAAATATTGTTCTTACCACTATCAGACTTACTTATTCTTAAAGGATGTACCTTAGAATAAATGTGTTTGGGATTGAATCAAATTGGAGATTAGTGTACTTTTAAACATAAGATTTAGAACATATGTTTAATGTAACCTTTTTACACAGAATTTCATTAGCACTCTTAGCCTTCCAGCATTAATAATCAAAATATTCTTTAATTTTCTAGTTTTACATTATAATTTATCTACTGAGGTTAGATGTTAAAATTGTTTTGTCAGCAAATTACAATTTCTCAGCAGGCCAATGCTTTACAAAATTTAATTTCTGTATGCCTAAATTCCTATATTAGTTAAAATATTTCATTTAAAACTTGCTTTTCATCTGTTAAATCTAGGTTACATAAAAGAGTGAACAATGTTTAGTAATTGTCTGCCTTATTCAGAGGAGAATAAATAGGCCTGGATATTTAACATGCAAAACACTCACAAAACTGTTAATTTGGTTCAAGAGAATACCAAAACGTTTGATTTTTTTTCTTTCTTTCTTTCTGTTTTATTTTTAAGGAATAAACACTCTGTATTCCTCATCCTAATTGCAGTTGGTTCCCCAGTGGGCTGGACACCAGAGTTGTCAGGTTTTATTTTTGTCTTGTAATTTTTTTGCTTCAGTAAAAGCAGGACATCACAAAGAACATAGTGACTTTTTTGCCATATATTAATATTTGTCAAATTTGTTAATCTAATTTAAACACATTTTTGTGTTTCTAAGTCAGCGTATTATTTTTTAATTCCAGGATTATGTCTTATATTCATACAGAGGTCTTTTAACATCATGCATTCTGTTACATTTTCATAATTTTTGTTCTTATACTATAAATCAAAATAACAGTTTAGTTCTCTGGAACATGACTGCAATCATTAAATCAGTGTGTAACATCTTGAAATAAAAAAGGGAAGTTTTTGAAAGTTTATCTTTGTACAAAATAGAGACTACTTGAAGAGTTTTTTTATTTATTTTATGCTGAAGCAAGCAGATGACTCATCTAAAATACGTAACTTTTGGAAATCCAGAATTATTTGTTACTGTAGATTCTGAAATACCATATACTTTGTATATCGACTTTTAATAACTAAGTCAGTGCATTCATTCTAAATTAAGCTCTTTGCTTACATCTTATTTTTAAAAATTAAAACATTTAAGAATTGTATATATATTTTGTTAATTAGAAATATCTATCAGAACAGTCTTAATTTTGCTTGAGTAGAAGTCTCATTTTAAGATAAAGATCTCTTTTATTTCCGTGAGAGATTTAAGAATTTAGGATTTGAGCATGTGCTGTGGCATATGGTGCATTTTCTGTCCTATTTTGTATACCAGCCCATTAAGAAGAGAAAGTGAAGTAAGTAATCTAAAAATAACTCTGCTGTTGGCCTAATTTAACAACAACAAAAAAAGTCTTCTGTGCATAAGTAAAGTTCCACATTTGTCTCCCCTGGTGGAAAATCTCTGAAGCATTTTGCCACCTATTCACAGAACAACACCTAATTTGGCATCATAATTGCAGCCAGAAGGGATGTTTTGACTTTTTATGGTAATGTATGCTAGCCCTAGTCATAGTACTAACTTTTATTCCAAAAAGACCCACCTTACCTGATGATTACAATTCAGTCATCCCTGAAGTCATATGGACACACCTTTTCCAAAAACAATTTTATTTTCACAAGAACTTACAAACTTGAATTGACCTCGGTGTTTTTTAAGAACAGCAATAGAACAAAAAGAATATACTAAAGCTGATTACAAGAGGTATAGCCATGCCTTTGAAAGTTCATTTATTACTATTTTATATATTTAGTTCACCTTTAAATTATCATACAGCACCATAAAAGTAGTAACAACTTGTAAGAAGAAATGTGTAGTTCTCTCATCTTTTCCTTTTTTGGGGTAGTGTTTGCCATTTTGTTTGTATTATTGAGTGTTTTACAGATTGCTAGCATTTTTATACTTTTGGACATATTCTTATCTTGCTCATCAGAGTATTTGGTATAGGAACCAAAAGATAGTTTTTTCTTGTAACTTTAAGACTTTGACATTTTGGACATCTTGTATGATAAGGCATTCAACATATTGTTATAACATGATCGTAGCTTAGGCATTATCAGTGATGGTGATGGCACAGAGTGCCTCAAGAGCTTGGCTGTGCCACCACAGTAGTGAAATGATGCTTTTCTTCCTGGTGGGGTAACTAGTTGGTCTTGATGCATTTAAAGGCTTTTGCACTTACACTCAATGAAATTTTTATTCCTTCCATAAGAGCTTTAAGAATTTAGTAGTGAGCATTTGCTGTGGCATATGGTGCATTTTAAGTTTTAAAATACTTTTGAATCCTGCATAAGCATTCATTCACTGATATGTTAGACTAGTATGAGCTTAGAAAACCCATAAAAATACTTCAGCTCTTCAAAACATGAGATATGGAGCAAATAGGAGAGAAACTTTTTAAAGAATTCAAATTTTAGAAGGATTTTAAGAAAATTAAGTGAGAGCCCTGGTAGGGAGATGCTGTGGTAGATTGCTTCATTAATGGGCTGCAATAAATTTTACCTTTCCTGATCCACTTTCTTGTGACCCCTCCCACAGTGACGCTGGATTGGGTATGTGACTTTGGCCAGTGGGATATAAGTGAATGTGGTGCAGTTAGAGCTTAATATCTTCTTGGAATGCTGCTTTCAACCATGTGAAGAAGCCTGGTCCTACCTCCTTAAAGAAAGACGCACAGATAAATCTCACTAGCAAGCCAAGGTGAGCTCTGTCTCCTGGTGACTGTCCTACCAGGTGAATGCAACTGCAGGAGTGAATCCATGCTACATCAGCAGAAGAACCGCACAGATAACTCACAGAAATGTGAGAAATAATAAATTGTTTGTAAGCCTCTCAGTTTTGTTTTACGCAATAGGTAAAGGGTACAGGAATTTATACACAGGAGCTTAACTTTTGTCTTCTATTATAGCAGTCACTGTGAACATTTCTGCAGTACTTACTGTCTACAAAACACTATATGGTTGCAGAAGATTTAGTAATAATTATTCATAGCTTTAATTGTGGAAAACGAGATTTCTTTTGTTTGCCTGGTAGGAGAATAAGTCTCCAAGTGAGAGGAGCATTCATAGTGATCCAAGTTTATACGGATTTGCAGTGGGAGAGGCTTAGGACTATTCACTGGCTCATCTGGACGACATCTTTAAGGGAGCAACTCATCTTAGCAGCTGAGAGATTTGGAGTTTGCAGACTGTTCCCAGGGTCACACGATGTCACGGGAAAATAGGTATTCATTAAAATAGAAGTTGGGAACTGTTCAGATAAACTGCTGTTAACTTCTCACTGCAAAATTTGTTCCAGAATCCCAGGAAGGAAGCTAGGAACTAAAGAGCTAGTACATTAAGATCAGTGTTTGTAAAACTGTATGGACATAACGATACAGATATACTTTGTGACAGAATAGAGCCAGATGGGAAAGGGGGAGACTGTTTCCCATTCCAATAAAGGTGGCTTTTGAATTAAGCTTGAATACAAAACTGAGAAGTGATTATAGAAGGGAAGTATCAGGTACTATAGTGGTGCATATAAGTGACCTAGGTAGTTAGGCTGCTACTACCAGCAAAAGTATAGGATCTTAGGAGCAAGAATGTGGTCCCTCTCATTACTAACTATTGCTTCCTTTTATTGTTAGAATGTATTCCACATGGACTGAGGGGACAAATGGTTATTTGTAGGAGAAGAAGAATGAAGTTCTAGTGGAATTTGGTGAAATATGTACCCCAAACAAAACAGCAACAAAAACACCCATTGGGAAACCTCCGAAGACTTCCCTTTGCTGGGGGGACAGTTGGAGGAGGTGGAGTACTTATGGGTCCATGCAGATTCAGCCATTGTGCCCTACCCTGATATAGCCTGTGGGGAGATGAATTACCTGTGCATATATTCAGCTCATTCTACTTGTGTTGTTTTCAGAAAGTGATGGAAAGGAAACAGTACAAAAATTCAGAGCCTTAGTTATATTGGATAATTTGGGGGTATTGATTGATCATCTGAGATCAAATCATGAATGGAGTAAAAATTATGGAGCTATGACAGTAACTTCTGGAAGACCCAGAATGAACACTTCAGAAGATAAAATTGTTTCCAGATACCTGAGTTATCTAGTGCCTTATAAAGGTGATTGATGTTGTTCAAAGAACTGATCAAATTGATGGAGTGGGAAAAAATCAGGAAATAAAAAAGGCTCTATGTGAAATCAAATGCTCACATTTCCAAGACCATGGGAAAAAATTGCCAGATTATTGAAAGGAAACAGAATTCCTGTATTTTTATTAGAAATTAGCTATACTTGGTAAAAAATTCCCATATGTTTAAAGCAGTGAGATTTAACAGCACAGTTATTTCTTTTTGGGTACATCATTTGACTAAATCTAAGAAAGTTACAAATTTTCAAGACATTTCTAAGAGGAAGACCATGAGAGAACAGTGAAGCCATGTTACATTAATGTGAATTTTCATATATGTCCTGTGTGATTCCATAAAGGATTTCAGAAAACACCCCAGTGAAGTAATGATGAGGTGGAAAAGAAAATCAAATCGAAGGAAAATGTGATTTAATATAGAAAGTCAAATTTAGGAAAAATGTCTGTCAAAATGAAAGATATAGAGAATGATAGTTAAACTTGCAGTGTGCTTTGGAGATTTCTGGCATTTAAAGTGAAATTTAATTAGTTATAGAATGTCCATTTTGAAAAAGAAAGAATAACAGTCTTTAGGAAAGAGAATGCCATTCTTTGGACTAAATTCTGTAGGAGATATCTCATTATTGGCAAATATCTCCACCTGGGAGTAGTGAGTGATGTACAAGACCATATCTTTGACCATGTTCCAGCAACAGATTTTCTGAAGTATCTTTCATGTCTATTTCTGTAGAACCCAAAGATATACCATCCAATCATAACTCTGTGAGCTTAAGTACAAGAGAAACTAAATATTCTTTCATTGTTACATTCTACCTTTTTGACTTTATTCAGTTCTACATCTTCAGTTAAATTGTGTGAAACAACAATTTCAATTTTATGTTTTTAATCCCCAGCTTATTCATTTTACCACAGATAAATGCTTCCAGTAGTGTTGTCTTCCTGGATATTTTTTCTTCAATATGTTTCTTGGTTGGAATATAAAATATTACTTTCTTTCAAGAAGATTAAATTGTGTTTTTCTGACTTTGCCTTTCCTTAAGGTTATTGATATCCAGCTCCCAGAATGACCTAATAGTGATAGTTGATGGGCTAGTGTCGGTTTGAAACTATTCAAGTTATATCACTGTAAAATTTTACTTTCTATTAAGGAAATTGGCAATTAGATAAAACGACTGAAATCATGGAAAAACTATAATTAAGAAAAGTAAATAGAGGGCCGGGGATTTACCTCAGTGGCACTGCACCTGCCTTGCAAATTCAAGGTCCTGAGTTCTGTCCCCAGTACTGGAAAAAATAAATACATAAATAAAAAACAGAAAAGTGAATAGAGTTTTCTACTTTCAAGCAATTGAAAATGTGTGTAATTTTGTGTGAAACAAAAGAATACAACTTAAATAGTTGCTTTTTTTGTTTGATTTCTTTTAAGTCATAGAATTGTAGGTGTCAGTTTAACTTCCCATACTATCTCAATCAATGTACTTTTCACCATCTTCAGTATAATTGTCAGACTTGGGCATTCTTAGCTATTGTTTGCCCTCCTGAAATATTTTCTGAAAATATGTCTTCTTTCATACTTCTGATATGTGAATGTACCTGTTTCATGTACTTTTTTGTCTGTTTTTTGGTGGTGTTTTGTGAGTGTGTGTTTGTGTGTGTGTTCACTAAGTCAGTGCTTACTAGAATGCCCCACATTATAGGTGCTTAATGTCTGTATGTTAAATGGATGAGTGACTTCTTTATGGATACACTTGTATCTCTTTATTAGGTTTTCTACCAGATCAGCCAGGATGATTTTATAAATCACTTATTTTTGCTGCCATCCCTCTGATTACAATGGCTCTTTATTTCTCTTAGGTGAATGAGTAGAATCTTTACTATGGCTTTCAAAATTGTACAATACCTGGCTTGTCTCCCACCTCCTCTTCCCTAGCTCGTCAACATGCTACTGTGTCATTTTCTTTAAGGGTGCCAGTGCCACAATTCCTTTTTTCCAAAGCCTTCATAGGAGCTTTTTTGGAGGGGCATTGATTGTTCCACTCTGCTGCTCTGCTCACCTATCATATTTCAATTCAAGTGGAACTTCCTTGTGAAAGTCTTTTCTAATCACTCTTGTTTCTATGTTCTCTTATCATTTGTTTCTTCTAGGTAAAGATCATAACGATACACTTATCATAATTCATGATTAATTTTGCCTATTTGCATGCCTCAACTAAACTGTAAGCTCTATGAAGGGAAGGATTTTGTTTGAATGGAACACCTAGCATGGTACTCAATATATGGTAAGAATTAAATGAATATTTATTGAATAAATAGGTGAATCAGTGAATTCATCTCTTTATTCAGTTATAATCTGCTTTTTTCAAGTAAGAATTTAAGATGCCCTCTATGAATGTAACTCCTCTAATATCATGCTTTCCTGACATAGCATGAAAATATGTTTGTTTTTTGTTATTTTTGTCTATATGTGTTTTCTCCAAAGTCTATTGTTTACTTATTTTGGAGTTTTAATTTTAAAACTATACACAATGGCTCATAAAACCTGGGTAGTGAGAAGCAAACAAGTGACATATTTGAGTAAATCCAGATCCACTTGCAGGATGTCTGTGAGTCAGCTGTACTGCTGGGTGACTAAGGTTCTTTGTAGAGCCATGCCGGACTGGGGTAAGGAATCTGTTGGGGGGACTAGAGTGTCATGAAGAGAAGCAAGTTTCAAGGATGAAAGCTGATATTCTTTCTGGTTTATTATGCCTTTCTTTACTTTTACCCCTTTTCTGGACTTGCTTTTTGCTGGCCATAATAATGACAAGGCAGAAAAATTAATAAATGGAATAAAGAGGTGACAAAGGGCAAAGAAGGTTAAGATTAGAATACTATTAAAAGTAGAAATTTAAGTTTTCAAAATATTTAAGACATTCAAAGTGACAGCATGGCTCCACAAGGACCTTTAAAATGATAGCTATAAGTTACAATAAAAAATATTTAAGACCACTGTTTTAGTTACTTTCTGTTTGCTGGAAAAAAACAATATGTAACACCTACAGGATATTGGAGGAAGGGTTTATTTTAACTCAATTTCTAGAGTTTTCATTCCATAGTTGGCTGGTTCCAAGGCAGGGCGGCATGGCAGAGGGGCATTGCAGAGGAGAAACTGTTCTTGGCAGGATAGGCAGGAAGCAGCAAGAGTTCACTCTTCTTTCCCTTTTTATTCCGTCCAGGCTACGAGCCTATTGCTTGGTTCCACCTACACCCAGGGAGGTCTTCCTTCTTCAATAAGTCCACAATCCACATCTAGAACTGTGCTAAACCAAACAGTATATTAATACAGTATCACACACCAATTGTCCAGTCACTCCCATAAGTCCCACCTATGAGTGCATGAGGCTTTGAGGGGAAAGGCATCTAGATATAAGCTATACTATTCCAACTCTGGCCCCCAGAATTTCATGTGCAGCCCTTTATGCAAAATGCATTTAGTCCATCTCTAAGAGTTGCCAAAATCCTAACAGTTTCAGCACTGATGATAAGTCCAACTCCAAAGTCTCCTTTGAGATTTAAAGCAAACTTTTAGCTGTGAGCCCCTATAAAAAAATGAAAAGGAAGTTAAACATTTCCTGTATACAATGACACAAAATGAACATTCCCATTCCAAAAGGTACAAATAGGGGCCTAGAAAGAGATGGGACCAAAGCAAGACCAAAATCCAGCAGGGGAAACATTATGTCCTGTATTTCTGTGATCAGCATCTGGAGCACTCTAGGCCAGATGTGAACTCCAAAGGGCTTTGTAGCCCTGCCCCTATGCTACTGCTGGTATTGTAGCCCTTGTGGTCTCCATCAGGCCACTTTGCTCACTCCTCACAGCTTTCCTCAGACGATCAACATTCCTGGTTTCTCAAACCTTGTGGGGTCTCCACTTGCACTTTTGACTTTACACTCACAGCTTCACACACTGCCCTCTCGGGTGCACATTGCTTGGCCTCCCAGGCCTTCTTCCAAAATCAAAGTGGAAGCCTTCTGGACCCAACAACTCTTGCCTTTTCATGGGCCTAAAACCAGTACCATGTGGAACCTGCTGCCAGCTAGAGCAGTAGTCAAGCTTTCTTCTCTTTTGGCTGTAGAGGTCAAGTGCTTGAATTGCTGAGTGCCATGAATCCAATCCTGCAAAACAAATTCTCTAGGCCACTGCCATTCTGGAACATGGGACCTGGGGCTCTCTTCTCAAAGTGAAATCTTTCACCTTTGCAATTTTGAAGCTGCAGAAGGTGAAGGCCCGCTGATCCTTTTGTTGTCCTCAAACCATCTTTTCTATTGTCCTTTTCCAAAGTATTTGGCTTTTTAGTATTTTTGTTTTTAGCAACCAAGTTCTCTGCTCCACCTTTTGTACAGCAACCTTACTTTAGCTTCTTTTCTGTCCTAACTCAAAATTATTTAAATCATTCTGCTGGACCCTGTCCTCTTGATTCTCAACACAGATCTGGCTAAAATCGCCTACCAGTAGCCATGCCACCACCTCAACATCAGCCTGCCTTTAAATTTCTTCTGCCAGATTAATTAGTCCACTTCCTTTCGTCTCAGTCTCCTGCAAAATCTATGGACATGCGCAAAAACTGTTGACAGATTATCTTCTAGAGCGTAGAACACACAGACTGGAGTCCACCTGTCAATGGAGTCCTTCCCAGTTGAAAACCTCCTCAACTTCTCGATCTGAATTTCAATTAGCATTCTGATCTTCCAGCTCCAACCAGAATTTTCCATCAAGCTTGACTTATAGCATTCTAGGGCTCCTTCTTCTGCCAACATCTCCAAACCTTTCTGAACTCTTCCCATAAGCCAGTTCCAAAGGCAACTGAACCACATGGTCAGATAAAAGTCACAGTAATGACCCCACTTCTTTGGTGCCCACATCTATTTTAGTTACTTTCTCCTTGCTGAGGCAAAATACCCAATTCCCACACCTTAAAGAAGGAAAGCTTTATTGTGCCTTACAGTTTGCAGAAGTTTCAGTCAATAGTAGGCTGGTTCCAAGGCAGACACAGAAGAGGGGCATCACAGAGGAGAAACAGTTGATAACATTGCAGACAAAAAGCAGTAGAAGTTGACCTATTTCCACCAAGCTTCACCAGGCTTCACTTCCCAACATCACACCCAGCTGTAAACCCATTGGTGAACTAATCCAGTATCAGACACCCAGGATCTAGTCAACTCCCAAAGCCCCACCTATGAGCACATGAGGAAAGTTGGCAGGGGGGCGGGGGGGG